TTTAATAAAAATTATTGAACGCGTTGAAAAAAGAGCACGGTAAAATCAGGCAATGGAGCCCGGTGTGCTTAATTGACTAAAAATATAAGGCAAAGAAGCCCTGAATTTTTCAACAGTTAAAAACAGGCAAAAGAGCCCGGTAAAAAAAGTAATCAAGTAGAGAACGGGCAATAGAGCCCGGAATGTTTTTATTAGTTCTAAGAGAGACAATAGATCTGCAAGTAAAACATTGTATAATAAGTTAGTTAACTTCAGACAGCCAAATTTAATAGAAGAAGTGAAATTACATAAATTAACAAAAATAAATCATAATACAGTATTAATGCTCACATGAGTAGTACTTTAATGAAAATCAGTCTTTTGACAAAGCATATTTTGCTTTCTTTATTCTACCTTTATTTCTCCTTTTCCCAATGAGCAGTGGAATTTTTCGAACACACACATCATCATAAGACCAGTTGTGTGGACACAGTAATATTCTTTTAGGCCACATTTACAGGAACAAAAAATGGGTGGCAACATTTGTGAGTAATCTAAAATTCGAGCCGATTTGAGCCAATCTTTAAATTGATCATATGTTTGCCAATCCATAGAATAAAGGAGGCTCACCCATGTATTTGTATTCATTTTTGCATTTGTTGACGGTACAACAAATGTAAATGCATTCAACTGTAGTATTTGTGATTTATCAACTTTTTGTAACCATTCATAAGCTTTTGAATCAATTTTATCATCAAGAGTGATATGTGTTTGAAATGGATGTTCCAGAACAGAAATTGACCAGTCTCGTAGCATCCGTTCAGCAGTTGACATAAAGACACCCAAAGGTAACTTATTTCTCATCGTGTACTGTTGTTTAATACGTCCATTAAGACTTTTGAGTCCATTGTTCGTTGAGGGTGACATTCGTGCAGCTCCTTCAAACTAAAAGCATAGATCTGATAGTCGGACTGGGTGATCAGTCATGACTGAAACTGGTGCATCCCTAAACATGATGTTTATCTTTATCCTTTCGTTTTCCTTCTACTGATCTACTTTCCTCTGTTTACTAGATTTATATGTACATGTAAATGTATATAGAAACATTCCTGGCTCTTTTACCTGTTCTCTACTTAATTACTTTGTTTTCCGGGCTCTTTTCCCATTTTTTCCAAAATTATTTTCTGACTTTTAATCACTTCATGCAAATTTTTCTTCGAAAAAAAGATAACTCTTTTCTTTCGTAGCGAATGAGCTTTGTCGTTATGCTCCGTTAATCATGATTACTAGCGACTTTTACTACTGCATACAATATTTCAACATTGTCTTTAATTAAATTTAAAAGATATTGATGTATCAAGCAGGACGCTGTTTCACTCTTTTTTTGACATTTTGTTATCAAAATATCAGTCGAATATGTTTTATACGACAACAATGGATAGAATGCTTTGAAATTTTACCGATAATAGAGCGCAAAAGGTTATATATATTTAGTAATTTTGTACCATACGATAAGTCAATTACTTCTTATCAAAAGTCGTCTTTTTTCTATTATTTATAAAATATGTTTGAAGATGCCAACGTATTTTACATAGATTATACTCTCTCGATTTCTTAAAATAGACTTGTGTAACTATATTTTTGTGGGGGATGGTATGACAGTATAAAATTACTAAATTAGACCTTCAAGATTTTTACTGTTAACAAAAAAGATCACACGCTAAGAGAGAGCGGCAATGACCATAAGAGATAGCATAAAAAACGAAAGTATCTACAAATTTTGATTGCGAAAAGTTAAGTTTTATCAGAAGCAAAGCTTATATTCGCAAACGACATGTAAAACTTCATCAGAAAACATATTTGTCATCTTGAAAACTTGCTTATGAAAACTTCACCATTTACTCTCCTTCAGATGAAATTTTGATCAGAAATATTTTACGATGAAAAATATGTTTTCTGATGTACTTTTACATGTTGATTTCGAATATGATATTCATTCGTGATTAAACTCGACTTTGTACAATCAAATTTGAAAATACTCTCTTTTTTTGTGTTATTTTCCATGGAAGTTGCTGCTTTCTCTTAATGTATTATCTTTTTCGTTAATAGTAAACATGTTGAAGTCTAGTTTAACAATTTTATACTCACGTACCATACGCAACAAAAAAGTAGCTGCATAAAAATATCCTAAGAAGTCAAAATAGACCATGGAAAATGCGTCAACATCTTCAAAAATGTCTAATGAATAACAGGAAAAAGACGACTTTGTTTTTATAAAAATGATTTGGTTTTTCGCATGCTACAAAACCGCTAAATGCATCAGACGAGAGAAGTTTTTGACCTCTCTCGTTCATGAGCATATTAATCCGTTCCGCTGTTGCTGAATAAAACACATTCAACTAACATTTTGATAAGAAAATGCTAAAAAGGGTACAATAGGACTCTGTTTAACATATCAATATGGTTTTATATTTAATTAAAGAAAATTTATGAAATATTGTATATAATAGTAGAAATCACTAGAAATTATAATTAAAAGAGCATAAAGACAAATATCACTTTTGTTGAAGAAAACACATCAATATTTTAAATAATAATCTTGGAAAAAATGATCAGATCGAACGGCAGAATTTCCGAGATTACTAAATTCATTATTATTTACAGCATATTAATAAAAATCAAGACATTTTGAGATATTTACTGTCGATGTCTCAATCTCTCACATACTCTTAAATTACATTAATCCAAAACGAAGGTTTGAGATAAATCTTATGAATGTTGTTTTCATAAAATTACTTTGGTTTGTGATTATTGTTTATGGATTATGGTTAGTATACCATAATATTTAGTTATATTATAGAATGATTTTTTGTTAAAAGTTATTTATCATCTTGTTTTGTAGAACCTGCTTATTTTTATCGAAGAAAATAGTGAGTGTACGTTTAAATTCAGAATTTTGCTCCTTCTTCGATTCTAGCTGCTAGCAATCGATTAATTGTAGGCAGAGAACATAGAAAAGCTATGAAGTATGTTTTTCTAGCAACTGACGACAACAGACGTCAGACTCCTTTCCCTGAGCTCCTTAGCAGTACGATAAGGCGCTGAATTGCATTAACAAGAAGACAAATTGTTCTAAAACGTTTCAAAACTTCCTAGAAATTAGAATAGCCAAAATACGTTTGTGAATGCTTTCATAGTGCAAGTTTTAATTATTGCGCAGAGAAAAATTTATATTCCAGATATTAACAAACACAAGTAATGATTAAGGGAAAAACACTAAATTTGCGTATTTCACCTTATTCCAAGGGCATGTCAAAGCTATCCTCTAGGAGTTCTTAACTATTTCAAGTCTACAATCAACGTATGTCACGAACATAGTAGCTTGAGTCATTTTATATAAATCTGTCCTGCAATAAAGCCCAAATACTTCATCATACTTCAAGATTTAAGTATTACTAAAATACGATCAAGTATTTGAGCTTTATTGTTAGACGAAGTAAATATATAATGAACTCAAATTACTATGCACGTGACATATACATCGATCGTAGACTTGAAATAGCTGTAATCTCCTGGAGGATAGCTGTAGCATATCCTTGGACTATGATGATGTATGGAACTCTTACACTTTCTCCCCTTGATAATGCTGCATGAATTGAATTATAACTTTGGAAGAAAAGAAACAATATCTGTGCTAGTGAATATATTACAATATAAAAGATGGTCTGAGACCTGCTTTAGATATAATCGATACGTGCAACAGACTTATTTATCAGTTAAATCACTGCTCAGAATAATAATGATGTTAAATTTAGAAAAACAGAATACAAAAATGATAAACAACGAGCGAATATGAACAAGGCAAACAAAGTATATAGTGCCAGTGCAAGCAAGAGAAAACCTTTACCTCAAACTGCAGAAATTCATTTCTCTGCTAATCGATTATCCTTGGAAAACAATTATAATCTGCTAGAGATTTTACATTTCATATATTTGTTTTTAGTTCAATGAAGCTAAACAATACATATGTTTCAAAAGGGGCTGTACCACTTAGTTTTGTTTTTTTGTATATTGTCTAATCCATATGAAATTTCCATTAATCTTTGTCATCTCTGCCTATCGTACTTCATAAAAGTCGAAAACTTTAGATTTCTGATAGAAATATAAAATTTATATTGTATTTTTTCTTTTTTTTTTATTAAAACAGATCTTTACGCAAGAGGCTTTCTAACCTTCAGCTAACCATCATGCTATATCATAATATTGCTCATTTAAGAATCATTTTTCTAGTCAAGAATAAGGTATAATTTACGAATACTAATAGACATTTTCATCATCGATAAGAATAAATCTGACGCTGGAATATATAAAATATTATTTTGTGCACAACGAAATTTTTGACAACTTGTTCGATTTAAAAAAATTAATTTATTACTACATAAAACATTTGACAATTGATATGATTTCTGTTTTGTTTTCAGTTGATAGATGTCACTGATATTTTTTTTCTTCTATAAATAGGTTTGTTTTGTAGTTAGTTAGTTAGCTATGTTTTTAATCTTCAAACTATGTTTCATTACTAAAAACAATGATTAATTTTCTTTGTCTTCTTCAAAAACAAAAAGATTCTTCATCATTAGGGTTCAAGAAAAAAATTTTATTGGTTAATCAAATAGACAAATTAGCAATATATACAATGCAAGCAATGACGGTCGTATGAAAGAAAGAAAATTGTGTTAAGTTTTTTTTATTCTTTGATTCATTTTTTCCTCTTCTTTTAAAAGCTGTTTGTCTAGCGTAGGCGTCCGATGGCAACAATCGAATTCTCCTGCCAAACGAGAAAAATGGTCGACTTTCTTTTTTTTTCATTGTTAATTAACATCTTTGTTCATCTAAATATTTCATTGATTCTAAAACTAAATCGAATAAACTAAAAATGATATTTGAATTTAAAAAAAATAAATAAAGATAAAATTTATTTTAAGATCTATTTCTTTCTTTTTTATTCGTCGTTAAGACTAATGGATGATAGTAATAATAATATATTTGACGTTCTTGAATCGGTTTGTTTAAATTTTATTGTTAAATCTCGATCTTTTTATGAGTTTATATAGCCATCGTCAACAAAAACATTGAAAATAACTTCAACATCAACAAGTGTACTATCTATGCGTCGTTCTCATCTTCCATTGATGAATGCTGGGAATGGTTTGTATTCATCTGCAACTTCTACTACAAATACATCTTCATTATCAAATGAACCTCAGCGAAAAAAACGAAAAGTAAATATAATTCTATTCGATAAATTTAAATTAAATCTATGATTTAAAATTTAGGATCGAGCTCTTCAAGATCTTGGATTTGTAAATCCAGGTCCAAAAAATTTAGTTAATGTTGCTAATGTGCCATCAAGACGTTTAAAAACTCGACAATCATCAGCACAAGAAAAACCAAGGTAAGAACAAAAGAAAAAAAATCAAACAACAATTGCAAAATAATTCATTTTGTTAAAATAAATATCCTGATATTGACAAAATAGGTAATATTTCATTCATGATTAACTTATATCAAAAGTTATCAAATGATAATGAAAAAAAAATTTTTATAATAAGTCAAAGATTTCACTTTGAGGACACACACGAATAAGATAATCAATCTTTTAGGAATTCATATGATGAGGAATACCAATATAATATCATAGATATTTACGACTTCTTTTCGGCGATTTTAATTTTTCTTTAAACAACTATATATCATTCTGTTCTTAGAATGTTTGACATGACTATCTCCACCTACAACTACCGAATATTTGATAAGAGAAACATGACATTAAACGAGAGATACAAAATCTTATAATCATAATTTTTCATGAATCATTACATTGATATAGCATGTCTGTTGTATGAATTAGTTGATATTAAAACAAATTTGAAATATAATCTTTGTAAGTATTTACGTAGTTTATCAATATTTATAGATTCTACATTTTATTCATTGACAAACATTGACTTATAAATTAGTATTTTTTACAAAAACAATGATAGGACAAATTGTGTTTATTTCATATGATTTTAAACTGTTCGTTGATTTGTTTTTTAATAAGTATGTAATTTCAATATTTAAGTATGCTGTTTTTTAGCTATGACTATAGGCTTATTCTATTGACTAAAGATAAATTCATGCAAATATATTCTTTACTAAAGGTAGAACGGAATGGAAAAATAAGAGAAAATTTTAATTCTTACGACCGTATCCATAAGCGGTATAAATTTAGAGGTAAGCATTACAGCCTAACAAAAAAATATGTCTGAATCAGATTTAACAATCGGTCGTGCATGTAATAATAAAGGCAAGTACCCTACAATATAATGTTGAGGTAAAAGAATGGAAATGCTTGTTTTCTGTTCGACAAAATGTCATGCAAACCGAGACGGTTAAACAAATGTGAGTCAATAGATTAAAATGTTTTGCCTGATAAACTATTTAGTGAAATGAAAAGATGTTTTTGAAATAAAAAAAGAAAACAGTTATGCTATTTAGATTTTACTTGTGAGAATTTATCTCTAGCTTCTATGCTAATATAAGAATATCAAATATAACGTTATAATGCATCATAGAAAAGTAATTAGACAAAGTGTTCATTCATATTTCTACTTTTTGAAATAGTATGTAGGATTTTAAAAACATTGGGTAAGAATCAGAACTTTATGCTCTGGTCAAATATAGGTCTAACATTTTAGTAGGCCCAGATCAATCTTGCATAGGCCCGAAAACTAAATTTGGACGTAGAAAATAGACATTTTGATGCTATAGTCTCCTTTACTGCATATAGTATATAACCAATTTCTTTGCATAGAATTAAAGCCAAACTTGTTTTTGACAAAGTCATATAGAAGTCAAGAGTTCCAGAATTATCATTCAGAAATGAGGCAACTCATTTAGTAAGTCTATTTTCCATAGAAACCAACAAGATTTTCTAAAATGAAACGCTCTCCATTACTGAAACATTCAGCTACTTACAAAGACTGAAAAATAAATGAGCATATTGTGTAATTACTTTTCTGTCAGCTAATATATAAGCGATGTAAAACTTATACTTTTATCATAGCTATATTTTAAGATAACAACAACGGCAAGAATTTCAAACATTCACAAAAAGCTATTCTCGTTCTAAACTCTCTCTATGCAAAGTTTGAAGTCGAACCTCCGATATATCAGTTTTTCCGGATGGAGAAAAGTGTAGCATTCATTTAAAAACTATTGTAAAAGCACAAAGTATTGGTATCAATATCCTAAAGGTCTGGACTGTTTTCAAGCTATTGATAATTTATTTGGCTCTATATGATGCATATAACTTTTTCTCAAAAATGGCTTATCAGTTTGAAGGCTTTCACTTGTCAGTGGAAATCAAATTTTCGTTTTTCTATCTTTAAAAAAACCTCCTTTTATTTATTTGAATTCTAGTTCAAGTAAACCAATATATGATAAATCAGGACTTCTTCTCTCTGATGGAACAGATCGATGTGATTGTAACCATTTAACATGTCCTGGCTGTTTCTTACCTTGTACATCTTGTCATTCATCCAAATGTGGTCTCGAATGTCGTATGTATATAAATATATATGAAAAAATTTCAATAGTCATTTCTTTTTTTACAATAATAGGTAATCTTCGAACTTATACATATGAATATCGTTTGTTTGGTACAAATAAAGAAATAGTTCCATAATTATCTATTCATTGAACAACATGTTTTGAAAGAGAAAAAAAATATCTCAAACAGAATTATTGTTATATGTTTTTGTTTGTATATAATATTAATTATTCTGATATATGTGTTTGTTTTTTGACTCATCGGAAATATTCCTAAATTTGATTTCTTTAACTCATAATGAGTTAATTTCTATTTCTAGAATAAGAAAAAAAACATATGTCAGCACAAAGATCACAAAGTAAAAAGAAAACAACAACAACAACAACAACAATAACAACATCTAGTAAAACTACTAATGTTTTATTAGAAAGTAGTTTAACACCAATGGATTGGTTAGCTACAATACAAATAGGTGAAAATCCATTACCATCATCAACAACAGCCGTTAAAGAATCATTATTAAATCAATCAGTATCACTGCCGATAACTTTATCAAAAACAAATATTCAACAAAAATTAGAACCACATGAAATTGAGTTGCCAACATCAACTAATCATTTAAAACCTCCATACAGTTATGTATCATTAATTCGACAAGCTATATCAAGTGCTATTATGCAGAGAATGACTTTAAATGAAATTTATCAATGGATTGTTGATTCATATCCATATTTTCGTACAGCGCCATCAAAATGGAAGGTTTGATTAGAATATTTTTGTTTTTGAAATGATAATTATGTTTTTTTTCTGTGAAGAATTCAATTCGACATAATTTATCATTGAACAAATGTTTTAAAAGACTTCAAAGAAGTACAAATGATCCGGGCAAGGTAAAATAAGGAAAAAAGGCTTAATCGATTTTATTTTTCGTATTTTCTTTCTTTTTATGATTTACATTAGGGTTCTTATTGGGCAATTGATGAATCAAATAAATTTAATCATCAATCAAATTTTCGTAAACAACGAGTATGAGAAAAAAAACTTCTTTTAATAGTAATTTAATGAATTTTATTAAGTTTAAATCACAACAATCTCTTTCCATATTATCACCATCACCGACTAATATAAATCAAAAATCAACTGTTTTTCCTACAAATGATAATCTAATAATATTTGGTGATGGTATTAATATTGGTGGACAATCCTTATCAACTGATGAATCGGATTCGACTATGTCACTTGCACCAAATGTAAGAAAAAATACAATTACATAAAAATGAACATTTAGTTTATGTATTTTAATAGTCTACATTAATACGATGGAATGTCTTAAATCCTGATTTATCTGCTTCACTTCGTCGAATTTGTGAGCCAATTTTAGGTGGTCCATCGATGACATCGATCACAGATTGTGGTATGTAACATTGTTTTCTTGATAAAGAAAGAATTTATACTGAGATATCTCTCGGAGACAAAATACCAATAAATCATTTACAACAGTTTTTATTTTTTTTACATTAATTTAAATAGATCCATCATCAACAAATCCTGCTTTTCCGAATTCTTGGAGTTATGATCTTTTTCCTCATGGAGAAACAAATAGCTTTTTGGAAAGCATCAAATTGGTATCGAATGATGAAATCGATTGGAAGGATATTGATGTTAAACCTTATTATGGTAAGATTATTTTCGTTTATGTAATTATTTTATGAAACACGATCTAAAACGAATGTTAAAGTATAAGGATAAAAATAAAGACCGTGACAGACGCTACCAAGGTAGACAAATAATAATAAAAAATGCGTTAAAATTTTAAAACAAATAAAATCATGAAAAGCACACATTTATACGCGTTAAATTTTTGAACGACAATATATTCGTTCGAAAACTTTAATTAGAAAAAACATGCACGTTTTAAGATTTCGTTTTCTTTCAACATGCTTAACGTATTTTTACATGTTCATTTGCTAGAAAAATAGTTTAGGTGAGTTCTTAGGATTGTAATAACTAAAAGCTGATCTAAACTATTGTTTCATCAAACTAAGTCCGTGGAAAAGGCTATTTTTTTGGTAATTTACTCAATTCAGAATCTCAAACATTCAGTTACAGGTGAAGCTGTGCGATTAAAACGTGACACGACAGTTGAGATTGAATAGGTTATCACCGTAGCAACTTATAATAATTATAAACTTAATTTAAAAAGAAAACTAGCGATTAAATAAAGCTCTCATTCTGTTGAAATACTCTTGTCTCGTATATAAGGAAAATGACTAATTATCTATTGTAGGGTGTGGCTGTAAGTGTGCAATAAGAGTATCGCTTTGAATTTGTGTGGACCAGAAGAAGACCTGCACGCAACACACTAGGGAAGTTACTGATGAGATAATGTAAGAGATTAAAAGAAAGCTTCTGATGAAATTATTCTAAGATAATTTTCAATAAAGCACTTGCTTATTCACAATAATAGTTTAGCTCAAGGTATTTTGGACAATAATATTAATATTACCCCTCTTTAACTATTTGTCCTCAATCCGTCGAACGTTAGATACTGGAAAAATTTTAGGGATTGAAATAGATTAGAAATGTATAAAAAATCGTACATAAAATCAAAACTTTTGAATCATATCCAACTATCCCTATTCGCTTCTTCGTTAGCTCGGCTGACATAGACTGAAGAACTGAAAAACGACAATTTTATATGACTCTAGATAGTAAAAACAAAAACACAAGACTGATGAAAGAGTCATTCCGAATGATAAATCATTTTCGAGTTTAGACTCTTTGCATAAAGTAGAATTCGATGAGGTATGAAAAACCTTGAAAAGATAATCGTCTCTGGACATTTCGTCCAGAGTTATAGCCTTTTTACTAGAATATTGGCCTATAAGGACTTATCCTTTTAGAGTTTTTAAATAACTCATTAGGATCTACCATGTGTACAGAGTCCAAACTCCAAAACGATTTATCACTTGGAGCAGTTCTCTTGTGAGATTAGTGATAATGATCGGTTGCTTCAAATAGAACTAGATTGCCTAATCAGAGTCAAGAGTTTCAATGAAGACACTAGAATTTAAAGACTGATATATATCATCTAGTCGGTCGCATGAGAATACTGATCCATCACCTATATTAGATCTTAATAGACTATACGTAGAAAAAATGGCATAAGTTGCAAAAAAATCTGTCAAACTATGCAGTGGATAGATATGACAAACCTACGAATAAAGAATTAGTGACTGATTGAACTAATCAAGAAAACGAACGGAATAGTTAACTGAAATAATACAAGAATGAAAAAAAATAAAACTAATAAGAGCTAAACAAAAAAAGAAAAATACAGTTCACAGTGTCTGGAAACGACTAGATCATTTAAAATTACTTTTTGCGGACTTGAACCATCTTCTTAAGATGACGATCCAGTAACAATCAGAAGTGTTTAGAACGAAGATAAGCAATGCACTGTATGGTTCTAAAGAGATCAAGGCTGATGAAAACTTAAGATGCATGGTCAAGAAAGGTCAGGCAAAAAAAAACATTCACAAAAGCATGATGTTTTATTTTAATCTCTTCATAAGAAATTTATATTTTTCTTCGTTTTTCTAAGTAGAAAATATTATTTCGAATATACTGTTCAACTCTCTTTTGACTCATTGAACAACAACAACAACAACAACTATTTTGCACATGATTCATCAAAAATATTATCTAATTCGAAATATGCAAATTGAGTTCTTGAAAAGTAGAAAAGCAATGTAATACTAAACAGACAGCTAGTTACTCTTCAATAGTTTCTGTTTAGTCAAAGCAAGTTGTTTAGTTAACGAAGTGCTTCAAAAGCGTGGTGACTTTTCGTTATATTATTGTTGAGCTTATTTTTCTCTGTTAACAATATTAAAGACTAATATATAATACTCTATTAATAATCTTTATCACTTTTTTGATCATATCACCTTTGGCAACTAGTACTTAACCGAATCAAAGACACCGCGGTACCCACACTCTTCGATTTGCTCAGCCAGTTAGACCAATTAGTGTATAGTGTTGTCGATTTGACCAAGAATTCCGCAACTTTCGTTACTGATTCATATCGATACGAAAAACTAAGAACTTCAACGATTTGAAGAAAACTCGACCGTCATATAAACCAACTACATATTTTGCGTTTAAACTGCTTTGAAGAGACGAATTCGTTTAAATACATTGAATTGCTTTAAAAACCCATGAATATCTAGTGATTATTGAACATAATAATATTCGTTCAGCAACATACGCGTAAAAAAATAGGCTTATATTTAGTTGAGCAATAATTAAATTTAGCAATAGTTATATTGAATGAGCAATAATTATACTGAATCAGCAATAATTCAACTGAATGAGCAATAGGGTTAGCGTATGGGTGTAGAGATGCGTATGGCTGTAAGTGTGGATGTTGTTGGATGCCTGAGTGATTGTAAGTATGGGTGTATGTGTCGGTGGGTGTGAATAAAGATAAGATTGAGATCCATACACGCACATCAACATTCACACCCACATCCGAAAGAGGCAGATCATCTAAAAGCAAAAAAATCTTTATTGACACAATAATATACTATTTTCTCATTTTTTTTTCTTATTGTTTAAATATGCAATTAATACTGCTGTTTAATAAATTAATTATTGTACATTTAATAATGTAAAATTGCTCAAAAAAAGTTTTTTTTATTGCTTAAAAATTATTGCTAAAGCGTATTTTAATTATTGCTCATTCCAGCATTTTTATTGCTTTAATAAATACTAGCTTAAAAAATATATTTGCTTAGCTGATCTTTTGCGTTAGCACGTGTTTTAGCCTTTGAACACGATACAACTTGTGAAAATTGCGCTACAAACAGGTACAAACACGTACATCTAGAAAGATCTTACGCTTTTTCACAATAGTCAAGTGTTAAAATAGTTTCTTAACGTGCTTTTTAAAGAGTTTTGTCTGGTTGAGTAGCCAAAGACCATTACAGACAGTGACAGACATTGTCAATATGCAAGTAAAGATTGTATATCAACAATGCCTCGTTCTAATATATGAACTACTTTCTTATTGTATTTCTGAAGGGTTAAGTAAAATATTAGTGAAGATATGTGTCACAAACAGATAGAATAAAACAAGTTCTTTACAATTAGCAATAACAACTACTTTGTGTTTCATATTTTGATCGTACAGAGATTGTACTAATAGCTTTGTAACGTAATATATGTATGTGTATAGAGTTCTTCAATGGTTTTTGAACAAATCCAGCATTTTAATAATAAGATCAAGAAAAATTATTGAATCTTACTTTATCGCTTTTATCTTTTTTTTCTGATTATACGAGTATATTGAATTTAGCACAAAAAACAAAATTGCAAGTAAGCAGTTTCCCTTTTTGCTAAATTGTCTTTATTTGAAAAACATGTTAATGTGATCTATAAACTTAAAACAATCAGAATGTTTCTCGATATAGAATATATCAAAACTTGATAAGGTTTTCTTTTTTTCCAAGACGATTTCAAGGCTATGGTTAGTTTTTCTTTTGTTTTTTTTTTGGTGAATTCTGTATTCATCTTAAAAAGAAATGATAAGAATCGGTCATTCACGTAAGCAATCATTTAATTCAGGTTCATATTAAATGCTTAATGTGCTATTACAGAATTTGTATGATAATTTTCATAAATCCTAGAAAGTTTCTCTCGATATTCTCTCGTTATTAAGCTTTCAGTAGGTTGTGAAATACATTCTTTCTTTAATATTCGTCACAAATTACACAAGTGATATAACCGTCTAAGTTGCATAATTGATCTATGAAGATAAACAGAAGTAAGGATAAGAAAATTAATCTTTTCATAGAGTTCGTTCTTATCTGTTGTTTACCATTTAGTAATTTAATAAAAGTGAATATATAAAGAGTAAGAATTTTCTTTTACTAAGAATAGTTTTTTCCCCAAGAATATCATTCTCTTTTTTTTTGTTATGCATACTATGAAATCCCTTTTTGTGCAAATCGAAAGTTCAAATACAGAAATCTTATTATATGAAATTAATTGATGATAAACAAAACACTAATCAATGAATATTAAAATATTTATGCGATTTTCTTCATATTTAGATGAATCCATCACAGCAAATCGATTACCAATTATGTCAAATGGAACAATATCAGAAGCAGCTAATAATGTAATATATATCCTTCATAGTTTTTTTTTTATAATTTATTTCTTGTACTTGACATATTTTTCAGTTGATGGCTCTTCCACTTATAATCGGAGATGAAACTTTTGATTGGGATTCGATTACACAATGTATATAGTTCATTATATATTTATATATATAAATATGAACGTATTATATTCTATTTATTTTCCTTAATTTTTTTTGACCGTCCAGACAATGGAAAAAAGCTCAGCAGTATAATAATTGTCATTCATTATATATATATACGTATATATTGTTTGACTAATGCAATAGGTTTTTTCCTCGTATTGTACAAAAAAAAAACAGTATATTTCTTTTCATGTGTATTTTATTTGATTTATTGCATCCGTGATATACTTCGGTAATACTATATGAATTGCTTTGTACAGTAATCAAGTAGTGTGGGTGTGGTGTTTGTGATAATCACTTGTTGTATTATAAAAAACATGAATAGTTTTTTTAAAGTACTATACACTTGTAGATTGCTTTGATCAAAATAAATAAATATTTCGTTCTTTTTTTTTCTTCGAATGGAATATCGGTTTTTTTACTCAATTAATGAAGATATAATGAATACAAAATGGAAAACAAGATCTAATCTCGAAAATCGAACAGATATTTATTTTATTATACCTGCAACAGTAAATAATTCTGATGATTTTCATTTTGAACATGGTCTTAAATTACGAAATAAAAAAACACTTGAACTAAAAATACGTGAAAAACGTTTTTCTAATGGACAAGAATATTGGTTAAAAACAATTCATTCAAATAAAAGGCTTAATATTAATGATATGCATTCAATTCTAAAAGTTTTAAAAACATCAAATGAAAATAAACTTATTGAACGATTAACATCATCTGAACCAATTATTTTATGTTATGCAAGTAAATTTCGTGAACAAACAAAAACAATCGATAATCTTACACATGAGTTAACTTGTTTACATTTAAAATTTATTCGATCTAATGATCAATCTCAAATAGGTAATGATTTATTTTTTGAAACAGTTTGTATTGAAAGGCCAAATTCAAAATTGATCGATGAAAAAATAATTGAAAAATTATGTCAAGAATATAAAACTATTTCAATTAATCCAATAGGTTATCCAGAATTTTTATTCCAACAATATCAACAAATAATTAATCAATAAAATAAACCAAAATCGAATAATATTTTTTAAAATTAAATAAGTTTTATTTTTCAATAAAGAAAACATTTCACAAATATTTTCTAACTTCTTGTTTCACTTGAGATTCATTTTTATAATTGAATAATATTCTTATTGAGAAAATCAACGAAAATGAAACGTGAACTTTATGAACTAAAGATGATCAAAATATTCTTTAATAGCATTTAAGAAGATCTTTTTTTTTTAAATTGGATACGAATCAACAAATTTATCCTGAAGTGTTCTCTCAAAAACTCGAATTTCGGAATATGTGCAATTAAATCACTGGAAACTATCAGGATATGTTGGACTACAATAGAGAACCTAGTCGAAGATTGTTTTGTTCATGTTTATGCAGTGCTTGAATATTGTGAGCAATAGAGTCATGTGATATGGATATCGTTCAAGGCCTTTTGATAAGCTAAAGTGCTTGAACTTCTCGTTTCATTACTTAACTTTCTTATTCATGCGCGTATACGAGTAATCACAAACGAGATACTTTATGGAAAACATAATGAACTACATAGATAAACAACCAAAGTTCACCATCCATCATAAACTAGTGATAATAATATTCTATTGAACTCAATCATGTGTCACAACTATGAAAACGATATTTATGATGCTTGAAATTAATTTTAATTATATGTTATACATGCTTTTGAGTTTTATTTTCAAAATGATTTCACTCGTAATGAATAATTACAAATTAAATAACAGAGCCAATAACAAGCAGTTCAAAGAAAAAAGAATCCAGATATCTTCAATGACAAGGAACATTCTTTCATTTTGAGCAGAAACAAGCTTTTATTATTTTATTCCGGTTGATTTGTTTTAAGTGTGTTTATTTATACGGTTTTTATAAGTTCAGTGTATGAGCTGCTTTAAACATACACATAACTCATGCAAATATTCAAGTGCATGTTTATGAAAAGAAAGTCAAGTTATGTCAACACATATTGAAGTTTGTGCATAATAAACACATAAAAAAGTTCGACTTGAAGTGGCTATGATAAAATTTTCGATCTCATATCATGACATTGTGAGGGAGATACTCAACAAAAAAGGTTAAAAATTGCTTATTTGACAACACAAAGATCGCTATAAAGTTCCATCCTATAGATTTTTGGAAGAGTACGTTAGGTTGAATTATCCTCCTTTTTAATTCTTATATTTTATGTGAAATGAAATAATCAAAAGTTCAATATGTCAACAAGCCCTAAAAAAAAATGGTCACACAGTTATAAAACTGCTTTTTTTTAAATAATAATAATAATAAACAAGCTTAATGCAAAAAATGGATTCTGTCAGGCAAGTGCAGCTTCACATGCTCTTTCAAACAAAGAAAAAAGCAATTTTCTACAATGAAATTCCTTTGAGAATTTTGAGGTATGCTATCAGAAAAGCATAAACAGAGGAAAAGCAAAAAAGATTTACCACTTATTCTGAAAAGATCGTTTTCTCAAGCAGAAGGTAACGGAAATCATCAAAACTTTTAGTAACAAATGAGATGTAAAATGAAAAAATTCATGTTGTTTATGAAATAGTACAACTCAGGTTATCTTTCTATACATTTATCTCAGTTTCAATATTTCTGATGAAAAATGATTTTTTTTTTTAGGCAAGATTAAAGGAAGTTGTTTGTAGGAATTTGTAAAAATACATGAAAATTATACATTTTCATTGAAATAAATTATAATGTTCGTACATGTAGAAAAATATATTCTTGTGACTACAACTTCCGCTCATACTTAGTAAAAATGTATGCATCTATCAATTATATGAAAACCCCTGAGAAAATTTTTCTGAAAAATTATAGATCTCGAAATAGCTCTATGTTCTATTGTTTTGCAATACTTTTGCTGCTTAGTCTAGTCTATTCAATGTAGTAGATTGATAATATCATGTTTGAATTAACAAGCATTAGACAAAGATGTTTGATTAAAAATATGTCTTTATTCATGAATAATCTATGATTAATTCAAGGTGAATTAGAAAAATTCTTTTTGAAAAATATACGCGCTAAAAATTAATTTTCTTTATCCAAACGATATATATGTAGACATTATTCTCTATTAATATTCACTGAAATTCACATCAAGTAGATTTGTTTGCCGTCGTATGTTGAAAAAAGGATTTTAGTTGACTAGATCGGTCTTTCTATTACAATCATTGTTAAACATAGGTTAGCATACATATTTTTCTGCATGATAAATTCATTTGATTCAAGTTGTTTTCACCTGATTTATAATGAATAAAAAGTCGAAGTTCACATCATTAATGCAAGAAATCATGCATGATATTTACTTATTACTTGACATTATCAGATATAATTTGACATCAAAAAAAAAAACGTAATGAAATTGAGTGTATGGCTGATGATCATCATAAAACACGTTCATTCTTGCTTTTCTTATTTATCATTAGAAAAAAAAAAGTTCTAATTAATTAAAAAATAAAATGCTTTTGATGTATTTATGGCATCAAATTTTTTTTTTCTAATATATCTAAAATAGATTCATTAATGATAATAATTTATTTTATGATAACAAATATCATCAGAAATTGAAGCAGGGTTTTTGAAAATAATTTAAAAATTAATAGAAAATATTTTTAATTTGTATGAATTAAGTACCAATTTCAATTGAGTTATCTTTTTATCAATAATCATATGATCCTTAGAGATAAAATTCAATTTTCTATTGATTATTCATCTAGACAACTGGGAATCAATTTTGTGATAATGAAGTAAAAAAAGAAACACAACAAAGACCACAGATCAGTACTCACTTATTTTTACATACACATATGTATATAAGATTTTAATATACAAAAATTTTCTTTTTTTTTTGTTATATGAATATGTTATGTCTGATTTTTATTGAAATATTTGAGAACATGACAATTGCATTTAGGCGCGACATAAGTGTATATTTAAATTATAATGAAAAATGCTTAGAATTAAATGCGAGACATAGATAGGCAAAAAAAAATACTTGTAAGCAATGGTCGTTTATGCTGAAGATAACATATCATTGCTGAGCATGTCACTAAAGGTTCTCCACCAACATTCTTTGCCATAATCTGTATTCGCACGTTGTCCATATATTTTACCAACCTAATAAATATTTATATATAAATTAAATATTCAAGGCAAAAGAGATTTGTTCTTTTTTTGTTCCTACCTGCTGGACTGGCATGCGGAAGCAACTGTCAGCACAATCACACATTGGACCACAATTATTTGCTGATTTCTTCTTGCTCTAAAGAAAGATACTTTTGATAGTAGAATATTATTTGGATGTATAAACTTACGCTTTCAATCGGATAATCTTCAACACAAGATTGACATGCTGCAAGACACGCGATTTCCTCAGGAGTAGGCGGTGGACTGGGTGAAAATGGTGCTACTGTCGTTGCACCTGAATTCCATGATGTACTTTGTTGTTTTTGTCCATCTATAGTATAGACAGTATTTGTTTCACTATCAACTAATTTTCCCACAAGATTACGTAAAGTACGTATTTGTTCATTGGTTCGAGAAAATCGTTTTTGTTGGATTTTACGAAATTTAACATCACTTTTGGCTATAACGATGCTTAAACCAATAAGCATAACAAATATGAAATGAGAAAGGCGGACCATTTTTCTTTTGATTGATTCTATTCTACAAATAGAAGAAACAATAAAGATGATTATCTTCTTCTACTTAGATCTATATATAGTCAGAGCTATGCAGTTTATTTGCTTGGTATAATACCTTTGAGATGTAAAAATAAACCAATGAAATAAAGAGAAGAAAGCGAAATATCATGAACATTATCAAAATAAGTTCACGAAATAAAAAGAAAAGAATAGAATAGAATCTATTTTCAATGGCTGATAAAAAAAACATTTTTAAGGGAAACTCACCTGGCCTTGTTTTTTTTAGATTCGTAAAACCTACTTAACGATAGCCTGTATCGCTTTCATATTAATGCCGTCAATGCTTTTAATAATGCACATACATTTAATCTATCTTATTACATAATTAATAATTATAGAAAGAAAAGATGTAATAATAATTTTCATTAAAAATATTAAACATGTAAACAATGTTTCTTTTCTTAATACATACGACTCGTATATAAATAAATCAAAATATAATTGTTTTCGCAATGAAAACATGTTACTTATTGTTATTTATAATAAAAAAAAAACAAAACATATCCTAACTATCATCAACCACTAGAATAAGACATTAACTAATGTTGTCTGTCGAATTCTGTCAAGAAATGTTTCCTTTTTTTTGCGGATGAATCTCCTATTATTAAAAAGTAGATTGCAGTGGACAAAGATGCGAGAAAAATGGAAGCTTTTTTTCTTCTTCTTTGTTCATCGTATCGTTTTTGTATGTCAGTCGAAACGAAGGAAAAATGAAAAACATCGGAAACATAATAATTATTCAGTTTTTTTCGCGGTTCAAAAACTAGCATCATAATTAATCACGAGATAAAAAGGATTCTTGATTTTTTTGCTTCTTTGAGATGAATAATACTATCTTAAAATATGATCAAATAAAAACTTACGAGAACTTGATCGTGATGGATGGTAAAATAAAGATGAGGATGAATGTTGAAATGAGCTTGAAAGAAAAAAGAAGAAAAAATATTCTTCTATATTTTCTCTCTTTTTTTTTTACATTAAGTTCTAGACTTGTTGATGTCGAAAAAGTAGCGAGAGAGAGAGACATAGATACTAGAGAAGAAGAGATGACGAAACAGACGCATCATTTATTTCTTTTGCATATTTTACTCCTTACTTATAGAAAAACTTAACTGATGCCAATGTTATCACTACACTCATTCAGATATCAGTAAAATATAAGAAATCATCAATGTTTGAATGTTTGTTGAAAAATGTTAATCATAATATAGTATCATATTCAAAATATTTACAGAATTTGAAAATATCATTCATATGATCTTTCAACATTTCTTTTGTTTCTTGTTCTTCTTTCTTTGTTAAAGGACATAAGTCAAGAATTTAATGAAGTATTCTATGTGCGAAAAAAATGTATGTAGAAAACAGAAAAATAAATATGAGAGGTTTACTTGGCACTGTTTTTTATCCAACTTAAATTTCAAATACTAATAAATACATTTTCTTATTAAGGAATATAATTTATCTGGAAGAACTATAAAACAAGTATTATCTAGTACACGTTATCAATTATTAATAGAGTTATGTAATGGATAGTAATTTTTTTTAAATAAATTATTTATAAAAAAAAAAAAAAAAAAACTTGATATTTGTCAAAGATGATAAGGAAACTATAATTGGAAACTCTGTCTTCTTTAACATCTGCAGTTGATTAATATTGAGTCCTATCTGATATGGTTCTAGTTTATAGATAAAACACATGCGTAAATTCGGAAAAAACATCCGAAATATCATTTAACATATCTGATAGCTGATACTGTTGAACGACACAAAAGAACGGCGAAATTCATTTTAAAGAAAATTAGTAAATCAATATGAATATATGCAATAAAATTTCTTGTTTTTTTTTAAATACTAGTATATTTGATTAAGTCAATTTATATTATATACTTGATAGATTTGAACAATGCTCACTTAAAGATAATCAACATCAATTCCTTTTTTTTTATTTAACTTAGTTTTTCTGTGAATAACCTTGGCTAATAATCGATGAAGCAGATAAAGACGACAAGTATCATTTCCTCTTTTTTTCCATATGTCAGATGTACTTTCAAAAAGTCATTCGATAGAGAATTGGTTACCTGTATAATGTGTTTCGTTTGTTTTTTTTTTAAATCAGTTCTTCTTGTTAAAGAAAAATTCAAAAGATTAATATTGATTCTATCATACAACTATGATGGGGCAAGAAAAATGATGCAAGTTTCTTTTATAAACACATTCTGCTGAAATACTAAACATGTTACAAAATTCTGTATCTTTTGATATATATATATATATATTGCAGAGTTTTAGGGAAAATAATTCTAAGAATAATGGTGAAATAAAAGAATGACAAAAACAATATGTCTGAAAGAATTCCATAGATTGTCTTTTTTCAAAAATTCATACAACCTAATCATTTGTACTCGTCAACTTTGAAGACAACAATTTGTTCACAATTAAATTTTACAATCGACAGCACGAGAACGACTGTTTTATACGTTAACAATTACTTTGGAAAACATGTTCGTTTGCAACATTCATAGAAAGATATTAGTAGTCATTAGTTCTAAGCTTTTTTCCCACGAATAATAGTACTAGACATATTGAAAAAGTCGTGAAGATGAAGAACATACAATTTTTGATGCATTGATTCTAACTAATATGTTACTTTTTCGAGAAAAAGACTTACATAAACCGATAGATATTTTCATAAGATTGCAAATCATATATAGATGTTTGAGCAAGTGTTTATACTATAAATTTTGCTTGAACAAAAAAAACATATGAAACAGTTTTTTTAGAGCAAAAAATTTTTTTGTCAAATAACTTTTTGAAAGTACATCTGAGAGATTCAAGAAGAAAGGAAAATGATTTTTGTCCCATTTAATCTGCAAAAAATAATTCAATAATAATTTTTGTTGTATATTCTATTTTTTATATGTTCATAGTTTCACGAGATTATTTTGCAAAAACAATGTTATTTTATGTTTACCTTTCTTGTTCTTGAAGAAATAATTCTTTTGTGGGTTGTTACAAAATGTAATCAAAGTATCAATTATTTAACCTACATATATATGTTTCATGTGGAGAAAAGAAAAAAAAACAATCATGATGAGACAAATGAATATAATTATTTAGGAAAAAAAAGATCCAAAAACAATTACAGATCAAGATTATTAAGCAAAACCTGAATGTATGTGTAGAGACAAAAAGAATGGCTTAATTCTTGTTTATGCAGAAACAAAAGACTATACTTAATAACTCAAAGTAACAAAATTTAGAAGAGGGAAGAGAAAATCGGTTATTCTATGTGACAATGCAGCAAAAAACGAAGCAAAAAAAGATAATCAGCTGACACAAAAATACTTTGTTTAAAAATAGAAGAGTCCTTTGCCTAATAACATTTATATATATAAATAAAAAACACTGTGTAAGTCATGACCTTTGATTTGTTCTTAGCAAAAAGGATATTATAAACAAAGATGTATGTCATAACAAGAAAGTCAAGATAAAAATAAATCAAAAGTTTCTTTTGTTATCTCCTCTCATGATAACGACGGATTTGATCTACTGAGGAATAATACAACAGACAATTGATATTCGTCCAGAACTGCCTGGAAATGATCCTAATTGAGCATGACTAATTGGAGAGAAGTTGCTAACTGATGAACAAATACCCGACTGAAAGAGACCATTGATTGGGGATAAACCACTTGATAAGTTGATGTTAGCTCCTGGATAATAATTGTATGACTGTTGTGGAAAAACATTGTATGATAATTGCTGTGCGTTAATATTACCGAACTGTGGTTGAACTTGAGGCAATCCACAAAGTCCTAACTGATTGAACCTACCGAAGGGTTGTTGACCGTAACTAGCGAATCCTGGTTGACAATATGTTGAAAATCCATATTGATTATATCCACCTAATTCCGGTTGCTCGTAGACACGATAAGGTGATTGACCAAAACCACTATATCCTGCAAGAGCCGATTGGCCGAATCCTGGCTGACTCATTCCACTGGAATTTGCCAATATATTACCACCCATATCTTCATAGTAGGAAATGAGAGAAATAAATATGAAGAAAAAAAAACCATGTAGTTTTTAATTACTTGGAAACCCACTGTAGTTATTAAGGCTTCCACATAGTGGCAATCCTTGACCGAAGCCTAGATTAATTAAGAATTAGAGAAAGTGAAGTCGTCTCTTCCTGAAATAGTCAACAAATGAACCTATACCTCCATAAAATGGAATTCCACTAAAGTTACTAGAAATACCCTGTGGGTAGATTTGTTGTTGTGGTATCATTGGAAATACTTGTGGAGTATAACCTAAAAAGAGTAACAAAATATTATCATTTTTGATAAATCTAGTCTTAATTGTATTTTTCAGTTTAATATGCAAAACAAATCTCATTCATGGACATTTGTTAATATATAATTGGTATTGGAAATGAAAATGATATTGGCGGCATTATGAGTTGACAAACTGTGAAAGTATCACAGCAATTTTAATCAATTATTAGACACTTTAGTTAAAATCATGATTATTATTAATTTAATATCATCATCATCATCAGTTTAATACACAAACAAAAGGATACGAATATTAAGCAGAGAAATTTTTTTACGCATGACAGGCAGAACAATTAGCATTGAAAGCATTACTGGATAACATCACTAGAGAAGATTATTGATAATATTTATTAGCTTCGAATACTTTAATGTATTTCTGACGCATGGGAGAAAGTACGGTTGATTATTGCGGCATGATAGGTGAATGAAATTTAAATAAATTGAAGCAATTGTTAGATATTGGCAAATAAAAGTTTTTATTTAGTTAATATCTTTGAATAGAGCATAATATGTAACGTTATAAATAAAAAAAGAACCATAATAGGTCGAAGTATAAATCTTACCCATTGAAGGTGTTCCAATGGACATTTGGGGCATGACTGATGGATAGGCTAAAATAATGAAAAAGGAAATATATATCAACCAAGAAAATTTCTATTAAATTAGAATTAGTATTGTCAGAAAAAGAATACTGAATACCAATCCAAGACGAGCAATTTTGATTTCTTAAACATTGGTTGCTGGTTTAGAATTGATGGCATTATTGGCAAGCTAGCTATATAGAATTTATTTCAATGAAAAAGTCAATCAGATTATTAGTGTCATTTAAATAAGAATTAAATTCACTAAATGTAAATATATTAACGAAGAACTTGTGTACGCTTAATAAGAAAAAAGAAATAATTCTCTTACGCATAGGCATTTGAGGTATAGCTGGCTGAATCATTGGAGGAGGACAAGGAATGCCGAAAGGATATTGTGGACCCATCGATGGTATTTGAAATGGCGTGGACCAACAATTCGAACCTATTTGAGACATTGATCCTTGAAGCATAGGCATCATCTGCTGCATTCCAAAGGTTCCATAACCACTCATGGAAGGATTGAAACTACCCATGAAAGAATTTGCAAAGCCGACACCGCCTTGTGGAAGTAAATTTTGAAATGCACATAACACATGATTAGGTACATAAATTAAACGAACTTTGGGTCTGTTCAAATCGAGTTGCGACATTGAATTAAAAAACGTTGGATATATGTTCTCGTATTTGCCAAGTCCTTGTTGACCAAGAATATCTAAACCACCTAAAGGAGATCTCACCGTTGTCGTCAATGGTTTACCAGTAGTACCGTGATCGGATGGATATTCTACTGCAATAGGCTGATAATGTGAACCATAGTTTTCAATTTCTCCATAATCGTAATAAGGATTGTAAGTAGTGCCATAAGAAGTAAGACCAGTCTCTCGCATAGGAACGTTAAAGTAACCCATTATATAGAACTATATGTATACATATATATCGTATAATGTTGAATATGTATGGATGTTAGCGTATGAAGACGATCGATACAATAAATAACAGCATATACGAGAGAAAACTGAGCTCACTTTAAAACAAATGTTTACTAATTTTCTCACCATCTCCACAGATACACATACACAACACCTGCTGTCTTTGATCAATTCACCGCAGCAAAACCATCAATTTGGAGACAGAAATATTATTTGAAACAATTCAATTATGTATATTTCAACTATGGTATATTCCCTACGGTCAAGTTTTCTGTTTTTCGTGCTTCTTTTTTCCTTTTCATCTAATCTAAGTGCTTTTTGATCGGCCTTTTCGCACTCAATAATGGAGACCTGATGCATATTAAACTGACAACTTCCAATAACAGACCTTGCCTGTGGTTGTATGCTTGTCTACTCATCGAACGTATAGCAATAAATTAAATATACGTGAGTGAAGAGCACAGACATTGTACCGTTGTGTCCCAAAAACAGAAATTTCTATAAATCTAGTTATACTCAACCGATTTTAATAATTTTTTTGTTTTACTGGACGGATGATGGTCATTCACTGCTAAAAAGAAACAAGTGTTCATCTGCTTTAGTTTCTGAAAAATCGTAGCGACAGGGCAAGTACATAACTTCTGGTGTCATCTGTTGGCAGTCAATCAATACTGTTTTTTTTATTTCATTGCGATGTTTTTTTAATTATTTTTTCCGCTAGAATTGTAAAACTTTCCAAGAGCTTTCAAAATATGTCTTTGGTTCCAGCTTGAGACAAAGTTTATGAATGAAAAACTATAAAAAATAGGCGTTTAGACACTTGGTTTTTTTTCGGTGTATATTGAAATGAAAATCGACAACATTCCAATTGAAGAAACTTCGTTTGAGTTAACTTAATTGAACATCAGAAAGAACTAAACGAAACATAATTTGAAAAGCAAAAAAAGTTCTGGTTTATAAACTTGGTTAATACAAAAATTTTACACAAAATTAAAAAGATGATTTCTACAGTAGATCTAGAGTGACTTTTAAAATCTTGTTATTGCTATAGCTCAATTGAAAAACTGAACCGTTTGCCACAAAAGTTTTATCCTTTTTTTTTCCAATTCATATAGTAGAGTAATATTCTAAAAAATTAAGCGAAACGTTTTTTTCGATCACAAGAAAATATAGTTTTACTAGCAAAGTATAGAGCGACATTTTGTTCAGTATTCACACACTAAGGCTGATTGATAAATGAAACGAGCATACAGAAATTGGCTTCGACACAGGAAAAGGATAAGAAAATTTTATTTTCATACCCAGTCGACATTGCTTAATCAAATGCAACACTTCGCTATTTATTGTTATTAAATCTATTTTTTATCAAGTTTTTTCTTAAACGGTGAAATGACTCTGCTCTTCCCTCAAATAAAAATTATTTCTTCTAGTAAAAATAATAAGAGTTATATAAACATTATGTTCGTGATCAAGTAAAAAATCAGTTTGTTCAATATTTGCTATTAATGTATAAATATTTTTTAACTTTTTATTTTGTGCTCTGTATTTCAGTATATGCTTCTTTGAAATATATATTTAAAAAAAATTTCCTTGCTCTATAGACGACATGAAATTGCTGAAAAATAACAGATCACATTTATAGTTTTTCAATATATTTCACTCTTAACATGAAAGAACAAGACGAAAAGAGTATTTTAATTTAATTGATAGTCATAATATTCGATATCGAAATTTTTTGTTTGAGGTATGTATCATTATGTTTCACAACATAAGATTAATAAAAAAATCAACTAATTAAATCTATATCTAACAGAATCATATTTTCTATTGAATGGAACGTTGAGAATATAATTCATAATTTTAGTATTTATGAATTTCATTTGAACATGAAGAACATCGATATATTTTTTATAACATACAAAAAAATCGGATAATATCGATATGTTGTTTGCTCTGTTCTGTTTACGTGAAATATCTTTCTATTGCACTTTATTACTTATATACATTTTTTCATAGTGCTGAAAAAAATGTCGTTGTAAAAACATAGATATTTTACTTTAAAACGAGCAAATCATCCAATAGCTTTTATTAACATATTTTTTTTTAATTTTCAACTTGTATTAAGCATATCATCAAACATTTATACATGTCTATTTCGTTTCATATCTAAAGGTTCGATCTAATTCTTATCGAATTTATCTTGTCAAAATAAATAACTCATTCATAAAAAAAACCCACATCGTTATAATCATCATTATTATTAATAGGTTCCTGCCTTATAGCCACAAAAATTAGTGATGCGTCGCGAAAGTTTGATTACAAACACGTATTTTTTTTCTACCAATAACTTTTTTTTTTTGGTGTATGATTATATATGAAATATACAAATAAGAATGAAAGCTATCAAAACCACACAATTAACCAATTTTTATTCATAGGGAGCAAAACATATCTATCAAAAAGAAAGACAGATACTGTGATCACCATCATAGTTAGGTGATTTTTGTGGTAATAAAAATACAGAATTCAGTTGTACAATATTTTAATGATAATATCAATAGCATGTGTGTCTACATACATGTATCTACTGCAAAGTGAGAATAAAAATATGGACGATGATTGGATATAATATATTTTCGTTAATTTTTCTTCAAAAAAAAAAAAAAATTATAACTGCTTTAATGTAAAAACCCACACACGCAAAGAAGAAAACAAAAAAATGCTACGAATAATTTCGTTTTGAATTTGAAATAAAATGTGAAGCACAAACATGCTTCAAACAAAACTGAAACAACCATTATAATTCACTACCAGGACAAAAATGTTTATCCATAATATTGAAAGAGTTTTCTTGTTCATCAAATTGTGTGTGTAATTTTTAATTTGCTCATTTGCTTTTTTAAAATAAAGACTTGATTGATCGACTTGCACTATTATTGAGTGATATTTAAGATGTTTTCAGGAGTCCAGAAGTACAGGAAAAAAAAGAAAGCAAGATATGTCAGCACAACAAAGAAAAAATTTTAAAAAAAGAAACAAATGTCTAACGGTTGATATAGCTAAAATTTTTATTAACCAACTGGCATGCAGCAGCAAAGCGAACGTCCAGGTGCAACTGGTGGTGGTAAAGGCATTGGTTGATGCACAGGATATGGTTGAGGCACAGGATATGGTTGTGGTACAGGAACTGGTTGAGGAACTGGGTGTGGCACAGGATATGGTTGTGGTACAGGAACTGGTTGAGGAACTGGTTGTGGCACAGGATATGGTTGCGGTACAGGAACTGGTTGAGGAACAGGAACAGGAACAGGAACTGGATGAGGAACAGGCATTGGTTGAGGAACAGGCATTGGAGCTGGTAATGCTAATGGTGCACAAGCTCCTCCGAATCCACCACCGAATCCACTACCGAATCCACCACCGAATCCACTACCGAATCCACCACCGTATCCACCACCGAATCCACCACCGAATCCGCCACCGAATCCACCACCGAATCCACCACCAAATCCAGCAGGGAATGCACCACTAAAGCCTAAACTCAAGGATATATCATTTAACATTTGTATTCGTCGACTAGGTAGTAATACTTACTGCCATAAGATCCCAAGCCACCAGCGCCACCGTACATTGAAAAACCACTTCCAAAACCTAGAAACAAGTACGATCATGTAATTCTAATTTTAAGTATTAAAAAAGACGTACCACCGCCATAACTGCCGAGACCTATAATAAAAAATGTGTCCCAATTTAAAAAAACGACTGAAACTCGATTATAAACTTACCAGCACCACAACAACCCGTAGGCATTGGTGCAGGCATTGGCATTGGCATAGGCATAGGTGCAGGCATTGGCATTGGCATTGGCATAGGCATAGGTGCAGGCATTGGCATTGGCATAGGCATTGGCATTGGTGCTGCACAAGGCATTGGCATTGGCATAGGCATTGGCATTGGCATAGGCATTGGCATTGGCATTGGTGCAGGCATTGGCATTGGCATAGGCATTGGCATTGGCATAGGCATTGGCATTGGTGCAGGCATTGGCATAGGCATTGGCATAGGCATTGGCATTGGCATAGGCATTGGCATTGGTGCAGGCATTGGCATGGGCATAGCCATAGGCATTGGCATTGCTGCAAATCCCATAGAAGGTTGAGGCATGAAGATGGCACGGATTTTAGGAAGACCTAAGCCAATGGGAGCGATGGGAGCTGGAGGATAGATAGTTGTTGTCGTATAGGATGGATCTAAAAGAATGTTGAATGTGTGTGTAATATGTGGAAGACAACAAATATTATAAAAGCTTACATCTACCGGCTCCATAATAAGGATCATAATAGCCCAATCCTGAATAGTATGGATCATACATTTGTTGATTACGTCTACTACCTCCGAGTCCCATTTCTTGTTACTTGCGATATATAACTAATCTAGTGCCTAGAATAAATACAGTAAGATTTATATGATACTAGGAGAGAACAATACTAATGCCTATCGAATAAAGGCAAAATACGACTCATGATTTCAATCCTATACGATTCACTTACTTTTATCCAACTGATGATGACGATTGTCGATCTCAAGTAATCGATCTGATACAAATATTTCTGATTTTATAGGTAAGCCGTTTCACCTTTGCTTTTTTAGACAATATAAGAGAAAGGGAGAAAAAAAAAGAGAAAAAGAGAAAAGAGAGAGCCTTTTTTGCTAGAAAACGGGACACCGACGCTTGTCCCTTATTGTAAAGACTACACTCATAAAATACAATTGGTTTATTATGTTTGTCTCTGCGTCGTCCATGCATCAATCAGTGACGCGTAAAGAGAAGGTTTCAACGATAACTGTGGTATACACAAAAAAAACATGTTTTTTCATCAATCATGGCCGTTGTGTTGTCAGTGGTGTAAAAGAGAGGGACAATAATAAATCCCTCTGTTTACAATATGTCTATCCATATTCAAAAAACTTCGTGTCAC